AAAGGACTGGGAAGGACATAGAAAAGACCGAATCAAATAAATCAAAGATAAAAATGTAATGTAAAAAATTATAATAAATATTTTATAAATATAAATAATATAATATAAATAAATTTTAATAAAAAAATATTTTATAAAATATTTTTTGTAAACCTTTATTTTATTATATACTTTTACTTATTACTTGGTGTGTGTATGTATGTGTGTGTCTAATTATGATTAATAAATTTAGATTTTAATGCATTTTATGCCAGTGTTTCACTTTTACGAAAAAATATTGTTGAACTGTTCGATTATTACCAAAAAACTATTACAAACTATTAAAAACTAATAGCGTTTAATAGTTTTTTCGTTAATAATCGAATAGTTTAAAAGTATTTTTTCGTAAAAGTAAAACACTGACATAAAATGCATTAAAATTTAAATTTATTAATCATAATTACACACACCACACACACACACACACACAACACGCGCGCGCGCGCGTCGCACGCCTCTGCCACGTTGCCAGCACCATGCTTGCATTATGATAGTATCTTATTGGGGCCATGTTAGCGCCATGCTAGCATTACGCAAAATCCATTACAAAATTGTGGCGCCAGCGGGCAAAACGTGACGATTTCATGGATGATGCTTACTAGCATGTCATGTCAGCTCCTGACCCGGTAAAAAATTTCTCATATATAATCATGTAGCATTTAATAGAGTTATACAATATTTTACATAATTGTGTAAAAATATGTATAATTATACATGACAAAATATAAAACGTTATATATATATATATATAAATGGAGCGACTGCAGTATAGAATTACATGTAGGTACTTTTTATACATACTTATATATAATGTCCACAATATTTTATATATAATTATATATGAATCTCTGTTAGTCTAATATATGATTATGTATAAGTCTTGCATCATGTATAAACATATATAAGTAAGAAGCAAATTTCAAATATAGTCATACGCAATTGTATATGATTTTGTATAAACGAGAAATTCTGGCTAATTGTGTCACTTTTTCCTTAATTTCACTTAATGTCTTGATTTAAAAATATTTTACTTTTCTAAAAGTTTCTATACCTTTTTCTTATCGCGCGCGTGCATGCAAGAGAGGAATATAAACAAAATAAAATAAAAAACACTATTTTACATTTATAAGAAATATATGTAATTTATTGTATTTCTAAATAATATGAGAAAAATAAATAACATGAAATATAAATACATTTTATGAGTGATACAAATAGTTCGAAAATTAGTGCTTGGGGTATTTAAAGAAGAGATTTTTAAGAAAGGACCTCATCAAGTCACTCTTACTGCCCATACAGCACAGAACATTGCAATTACATTGCAGCAATGTTACAATCTTGCAAGTTGCAATGTAATATTGTTGAGACATTATTGCAACCTATAATTGTAATATTTCATGAGAATGTGACAGCAACATTCCAATAACATTGCAATAGCAATATTCGGTAGTAATAATCGCTAGTTCGTTTGTTTACCACTATGCAACGCGCGTTGCAAAATCTATCTTGTATTTAAGTTTTAGTCATGATGATTATATGAAACTTGCAAAGAGTGGCTAGTAAGATTAAAGACATAGTAATTATTTTTATTAGTTTAATTTTTCTGATACGATCTCAACACAGGGAATTTAGATATTAAACTGATTGTTCAAAAATCGAACAGATAAATGTCCGAATAAATAAAAATATATGCAACATTATTCTAAGATTGCAATAACAATGCATTATTGCAAATTCATTACATTGCAATATTACTGTAATATTTCGTTACAATCTTCCTAAAAGCGGACATTTTAACGTTGCTGCAATCTCACAGCAATGATGCAACAACATTTTGCAGTGAATTTGCAATATTGCAACATTGCGATGAAAGATTGATACAATGTGTATGCAATCTTTGTGTGCTGTATGGGTATATATATATATATATATATATATATATATGATGTGATGTATGTATGATTATGTACTTTATGTTTGCGCAATAAAAACACAACAAAATAAAACAAGAAAATGTATATTTACTCATACACACCTTTATATAATCATATATAAATATATATGTTTATATTCATTTATATATAGGTGTATCTATTTATGTATGGACAAATTTGGTATATAATTTTGTATAATTAGATATGTACTATTTTTGTCTAATTATGTATGAGAAATTTTTTACCGGGGAAATGGCAGTATGGCACGCTGATCAGTGCCATGCAAGAGCCTAATTAAAATTTCTACCAGGGTAGCATCAAAATACTTTAAAAAATAATCGCAATTGCGTGTTTTATAAATGCCATAAAAAAGCAGCAATTGATGGACGAAGTAGCAATTATTTAGACAGAAACGAAAATTTGGAAAGTATCAGACATTGACCGTGCAACTTTAAGGTAAATAATTTATTTATAAACAAATTTTTTAAGTATCGATAAATTAAAATTGAACAATAACGCACCTGTTGTCCAAAATCAATGACCTGTTTGTCTACCGAGTATTGGACGATGTCTGCATTAGCAAGCACACTAATTAATTCAGTAGGTCCTTGAACAATATCACAGAGCGCAATAGCTTTGACTTGCATGGACTCGGAACCATGAAAGATAAAGCGCACGTATTGCGAAGAGTATGGAACGAGAGTGCCCTCATGTGGGACGATATCAAGTATCTGAAAAATGTATTTGTTTTGTGTTTGGCTTTGATATATTAGCGATTTGATTTAGCTGCTTTTCAAATATGAATATAATTTGTAAATACAATTGCATTCCTAAATACAACTACATATTCCTGCATTCTTCCTTCTAATTTTCTATTTCCTTCTTTTCCATCTTACACTGTTTTCCCTCTATTTTACATTTGCTTAATAATATGATAACGTTAAAATGAGAAAATGAAAAATAAAAATGACATTTAATGAATTTCAATATAAAAAGTTTGATTAAGAATAAGAAATCTATAATATACACGCAGAAATATTCAATAATCAAATCAAATTAAATTTTACTTTAAAAAACGAACATTGTCAAGAGGCTCCGTTGTGGGAAGTTTCAGATTGAGATTCATCGGAGCAAAAAGCTCTGGGTCATCTAAACACGATAAGCAACACACATTTGCCGTCGATGAAAAGATACTTTTCAGTTTTTCGAGTTCTTCATCTAATGTTTCAAAATAAATTTTTGTCAACATACTCTCTGATTCTGATTTTTGTAGCTCTAATGTAGAAAATATAAATATATGACTTTTATAACAAATTTTTCAAGTATTATTTGACTTTTAGATCATTATTAATAATAAAACTATATTTTTTATTAAAATTACAAGATATTGAATAGCATATACCGTATGATAATGAAATTGGCAAAACTGCTGTTTTTCCGTCTTTATTTTCATGAAGCTCTAAATTTCTTTTATTCTCATATGAATGAGGATAAATTTTATAGTTTTCTGCATTAATTTGCAGCTTTGAAGGATCTGTAAATTCCTGTTAAGAATATATGCAAAATTGTGTATAATTATTTAAGATTTTAGAAAATTTTTGAAAATAATTGATTTGTAACAAATAATAAGCTTGCTTTTTATGTAAAATATATGAGCACCTCGGAGGTATACTAGATATTTAATCAGAGATTTTACAAGATTCTATATCTTCAATTTTTACCCAATGGCAAATGTTTTTAACAAAAATAGAAATGTTGACTGTATAAAGTTAAGTCAGAATGTGACGACACATTTACTAGGTCACAGTATTTAGTCATATTAAAATCATATTCCGTAATTACACAACTTTATTTTCTGAAACATATTGAAATTTGTAAATATAATACAAAAAAAATCTGCAAAACATTGTATTTTACTAACTAAGAATGTTCATCTCTGAGATGCTTATATGTTTATATGTATAACTCGACGCAAACTCACTCTAATATCATCAATTTATAATTATACTCTATATTGTATGCGTACTCTACGTTGAATCTCAATACTCTCTCCAGCCCACAGAAACTTGTACTTCACAGGAATTGGTCCATTATTAGTCATTCTCAAAGCTTGTTCGGCGCTTGAACCCGAAACACAATTGATAATTAAATCTTTAGAAAAAAATGTAATATTTGGGAAATTTACAACACCTTTGCATTGAATCTTGTTCTGAAAATAAGCACAATTTTTACATTACACAACTTATTGCTTTGCAATGTAAATTTAGCAAGATACCTTGTTAGGATGCTCGTCATATTCGAACCAAAGTGCACCGCCATAATTTCGCGAATAAGGATCATTGAGATTTATATTTGGCGAAAATTTCACCAAAATCGTCGTACTGATATCGATCAGTAAAATAATTTTCTTTTTATGCACAAGTTTTTTCTTATCGTTTATCAAGTAAAACGGAGCATCGATGTATAATAAAACATTTAAATTTAAGTGTGATTTATTTGTCACGACAATTTCATCTAAAAATTAAAAGCAAAACTGTCATCTTTGTTTTAATGAATATAAAAAGTACGTTGTATAAATTTAAATAATGCAAAATTTATTTATTGCAAAATAAATTCTGGCATCAAAGTATCTGCTTCTCTTTCCCTAAATAGATGTTTCCTTGAATATTAAATTGCGTAACTTTCCTAATAGTTTCGCTGAAATAGTTTCGAACAACAAGATAGTATGCAATTTTGTACCTGTTTGCTGCAAATTTTCTTCCTCCGAATACATATCGATGCGAAACGTTAACTCTCTCTTGTCAAAGGCGATTTGTGGTTCCGTAAAAGTGGTTCTAAATGTAGAAGTTCCGATCAATTCTCGTTTTCCTTGTCTGTCCTTTGCCTGTCTTTCTTGTTTGTCAAAACTCTGCTTAAATATGTACCAATCTTCCGTCAAAATTTCATTTCTTTAATGTAAATAAAAATTTTTTTTTAATTATTTTGAAAAATAATCTTTTTTCTTTAAAATTACCATTATAGAATACAAATTTGAAAGAAAAACAAGCAAAATTGATATTTGATTCTATCAAAATTATTTTATCTATTTTTCTAAATAACAATAAAATCTAATTGGAACTTACATGTCCCAGTATATTTTACAGTGTACTACGTTAGAACCATTGGCTGGAACTTCTACGATGGCAGGTTCGACACAAAACTTTCTACTGTAATAAATAGTTTTGAACATTCTGGTAAAGTTAAAATACTAGTTTAAACTAAAATTATGTGATTACATTCCCAAAGCATGGTTTCTTTGAATGCGCACTTCTGGATCGTTCGACCATATTATTTGGCAATGACGCGTGCCAAAATTCTTTATAGTTATTGGCAGACTCTGGAGTTGGTGGCTGTCGAAATAATTAAATAGTAGTTAAATAATTTAAAAAAATAATACAAATAAATATTATTAAAATAAATCTTATAGTAATAATAATAAATAGTGACTTATTATTATTATAAGTTCATAATTTACCAATGTCGTTTTACCTAACAAGAAAACCCATGTCGAATACTGGAAATATCTGTGGCTCGAATACAACGTTACAACCGATTCCAATCGCAACTACGTTGATAGGAATCGATCGATTGTTGATAACATGCGCGATTATATTGTCAGCGTATTTACCACTGTCGCGTAAAAATATTTTTGCTTCAATCTCCACAAATCCATTTGATGCAATTTCGCCAGTAGCTGGTTTAACGATCCATGACGAGTCTTTTCTACGCTATATGATATAAGATAATTGTTAAATTTATTTTTTTTTTTCATTTATAGCATTTTATATCTACAAATTTTAAAGCAAGTTTATTTGAAAAATATTAACTGATGTTAATTTGAATTGCGCTGGTATCGGCGAGTCATTAATTATGCGAAAATTCATGACTTTATCTTGAAGCACCTGTATCTCTCCAAAATTGAGGCAAGTAGGTTGCACAGATACTATGGGCCCCTGGCCGTTACATATAATTGTGCAAGATGCAACTGAAGCCTGCTCGCCCATTGTCAACATACTGATTTATCACAAAGAAAATAATGGTATCTTTATAAAAAATAAATTATACAGTAAAAAGAAATATATTATAAGAACATTAAACATTTTCAAAATTTTTAGAAATCAATAAAAATTCTAATAAAAATCAATTATTACTATTATTATTATGTGTATTGTTATCTCTACGAATCATTGTGATTTAGATTTTTATTGGTCTTATCATTGTCGATTTGATACCAAAAAAGAGTTCTAAAATCTTGAAAAATTTTAAATCTAAAGATTTTTAAGTGTTTTTTCTCTTATTGACTTATAAAATTAAATAATCCCAAGGCTTATATTTTAAAAATAATTATACTAATTGTTATACTTAAATGTAGTTGTCTTTCTGTCCAAAATTTTTGTAATAATTGTGACATCAATTGTCTTTGATTGTCGTGCTTTCAAATAACCTTCATGAGATGATAATGAATATACGACAGGCATATTTTCGGATATCTAAAAAATAGAATTATTACAGCCAATTTATAATAACTCTTCTTTAATAGTGTATTTTTTATATACATATTACGCAAAGTAATATTGTTCACAAATTCAGTTTACGAAATTAATTGAACAATTACCTTTTGTGGTATTATATAAAAGTATCCATCCAAATCGGTATTATTTTTTATATTAATAGAGCGAGCATACGGGAAATTGATGAATGAGAATCGTATAGAGATTTCCGTAGGCTTGATTGATAAAGAGGGAATAACACCGCAAAATGAAACTGGTAGTATTACTGGATCCGAATCCGAATCCCACATATCAATTCGAATGGTCGACTGTCCGCTTCGAACCACGTTTGCGATATATGTTACCTATATTTTAATACAAAAATAAACTCTCTGCTAATGCTAATAATTATTTAATTTAAAAGTAATATTAAAATAATTATGCTGAAAGAGAAACTGATACATAAATACATAATTTAAAAAATGTAGAACAATCTTCTTTTTACAAATGTTTCTTTACGAGATACACATTAAGATATCGTTAAAGGCATCGTATTCAATTTACCTTCAATTTAAGCGAACTATGCGCTTGAACTACTCCTTTATACGGAGTTATCATAAATTCGCGAGGATTAGTCGGGAAACTTGGCTTCACTTCAGATCTGGCAAACTCTTCGTGGGTCAGAGGCGCCTGATCACCGTCCTCCATCATAGTCGCGCTGAACGAGACCGGCACCAAGGATAAGTTACAAAGACATACTTCCTGCCTTTTGCTGAACCCTGTAAATGTGTGCACGAAACTGCGGTTTTCTTAAAGAAGAAGTAGAACTGCATTGATTACTGCAGACGGTATACCTAAAGCGGTTGCGCCAAAATCAATGCTGCTCTTGTCAAAATGCAATGTTGGACATATGATGCATCCTCTACGAACAAAAAATTTTATAGTATATTATCACAAACTTATGATACAATATTAATTATAACAAATTATTATAAAATATTATATAGTATTTTTAATGAAATTTTTTATAAAAGAAATGAAATAAACGCAATTATGTTAATATTTACAATTATTATAAAAATTTACAATTATTCTAAAAGTGAAAAAAGTACGAATTTTTTGTTTAATACGATAACCAAGTTTGAATACTTGATATGCAAGGATAATATTTCCAAACTCTCTTTAACGACGAAGTCGATCCGTTCTATAAAATCTCCTTTCCGATTTGAAAAGAATGATAAATTGAATGAGTTATGTTCGTTTGGTTGCAGCGTTAGAGCAGGCGGAGTGATATTAATAGTGCCATCAAACTCCGTCGGTCTTGCCTTATAAACTAATGTACCACTAATATGCCCTTTATTTGTCGCAACAATCTAGAATACAATTAATTCAGACTTCAATCATTTATATCATGCAATATAATTTTATACATATGTACATATATTTATGAAATCGAGTAAAATAAATGCTGAAGAAAAACTAATATAAATCTTTTGCAATCATATCTGAGAAAAATGTAACATTCAATCTTCGATTAGTATTTATAAATTTCTTTATATTTGAATACATTTATTGGAATACCTCGTAATTGTGCACAGAGCACAGGAAAATATCCTTGAGGTCAATCGTGATCACGTTGAGATGGAAAACCGGTCCCTTGCCGCTTCCGTGAAGGCTACCATTGGGACTCAAAATTAGCAAGAAATGTCTGAGATAGAAGGAAGTTTCTAAAGATAACATTACACTAGTTTTCTTATAACCTCAGAGGTATCCTGTCCTCACGACCCGTGACTTCAAGATAAGCGACGCTTGATATCTTGTTCACTTCCATAGCTCGAAAAAGTACTGTAATATCTATAGAAGATTGAGGCCAAATCTCGCCTTCCTGAGAATTAAAGATATTAAAGTAATCAGACGTGATGATACGTATATGACTAACATACGTTTATCTAAGCTGTTAAATATTTCATAAAAACTGCTCGTCAAAAATATTTTTAAAAAAATATCTGTATTATTTCATCAGAATCTATTTATACAGGGTGACCATTGAAAAGGTGTGTCTAAAGTAAATTACTATTACTTTGCAACGAATGAACAGAATGAAATGAATTAAACGTTATTTTGTAAAGAAAATCCGTCAATTTTATTCCGTATGAAAAAAGTATAGAATAATTAAGTAATTAAAATAAACATAATAAGAAATGCTACAAATCTGTTTGAGCGCTCAATAATAAATATTGCCGAAGTATTGTCTATCGGAATTGACACAGAAACTCAAAAGTTTTTGAAAACTGTTAAATACACTTTTTAACATGACTGGAAAAATATCTTATATGCATTTTTGAATACTTTGTTTTAGCTTATCAGTATTTTTCAGATAAAGCACTTTTTATCATACTTATTTTAATTACTTAATTATTATACACTTCTTTCATATTGTATGGAATATATGACGGGTTTTCTCTACAAAATAACGTTTAATTCATTTCATTCTGTTCATTCGTTGCAAAGTAATAGCAATTTTCTTTAGACATCTTTCCAATGGTCACCCTGTATTTAAGTTGTAGCCTAGAATCTTTTAGACAAATCTAAAATTGTTTGTTAGACAAGCAGAAATAAATATATTTTTACATAATTAAGATATATAACGTTATCAAGATGCAAGAACTGTTATTTTATAAATGTTATTATATAAATTAATCATGAAACTCACCTTAGGCATAAGAAGAAAGGACATGTGATTGTAGGGAAAATTCTCGTTCGTTAATGAAGCAATCTCGTCCGCGTAAATCCTCTGGCAGACAAGCTCGTGAATATCTGGCAGACAAATATTGTAATGAACAAGATTGACGTGACGCATCACCTCCATATTGTGTACCAGTTGAAATAGTTTTTTATATCTGTCATAAAAAATTAAAAAGTTACTATAATTTTAGTATCAAAATCGACCAAAATAAAAAGTTTTGTGAGAAAAATATTTGTTTTCTCTTACTTTTCCTTTCGTTGCACATCGGCATCTTTATCCTTGAAACGCATCCATTGAAACCTCACGATATAATTACTTCTATTATGAATCGTCAGGGTTTTGCTTCTAGACAAGCCTAGATAAGTGTCTTCCATTCTGATACTACCTCTGTCGAATCGAATCATGCAGTTTATTGCTGAACTCCGCAATACCAAGCGAAGCTTTTCTCCTATTAATAATTTGGATATATTAGGTTTATTACATTTATATCAATGCTTATATATACATATATGTATATACATTTATGCAAAATTATTATTAATACATAAAGTTATTATTATTTAATATGTATAATACCTGCTTCATAATTAAGGAAAAGATTTGCCTCAAAATCGCCAGATTTCTCGGATAAAAAGCTGACGGTTAGTTGCATCGTCTCTTCTTTCCCTAATATGCCTCTTGATGGTTCGACGAAGAAATACGGACTGGTGTAGTCGCATAAAAATGATTATACATATATCAGATTTAGACACTTTTCTTACAGTTATGAATACTTTTTAGAAAAACATAAGGCATTTAAAAAGCATGCACTTTTGATATAATCTTTTTCTTAAATTACATAAAGTATGATTTATTACAAAAAAAATACGAAAATAATAATTGTCTATTTAATATGTTATAAGGTGTATGCAAAAGTTTTCATTGCTCTCTCTTATATATATTTAAATATATTGTTCCAAAAACAGATATTTTTATCTTTGCGATATTCATCCTTTGCCTGAAAGATGGCTGAAAAACATTTTGACTAAAAATATTGTATTATTCATAAGATATTACTAAAGAAAATTTCCTGCCAAACAATGGAAACTTTTGTACATGCCCTTAATATTTAATTTTAAAAATTTTTAGCAGAATTTAATCAACTAGTAATTATAAATTTTAACAAAAAAGTTACAAATATATATATATATATATATATATATATATATATATATATATATATATATATATT